TTTTCGGGTGTTTTTGGGGTGTTTTTCGGGTGTTTTGGGGTGTTTTTGGAGCGCACGGGGAGGCCAAGCACAAAGCGTTCGAGATGTCCTTCAAGGCCAAGGGGCTGCACCACGACAAGGCCTGTGAGTTTCAATGGGAATTTTGGGGATTTTTGGTGAAATTCCCGAGTTTTTCGGGTGTTTTGGGGTGTTTTTGGGTCGCACGGGGATCCCAAGCACAAAGCGTTCGAGATGCCCTTCAAGGCCAAGGGGCTGCACCATGACAAGGCCTGTGAGTTTTTATTGGAATTCCAGGGATTTTAGGAAAATTCCGGGGAAATTCCTGAGTTTTTGGGGTGTTTTTGGGTGGTAAAGGGTTTGGGATGCACAGGGATCTCAAGCACAAAGCGTTCGAGATGTCCTTCAAGGCCAAGGGGCTGCACCACGACAAGGCCTGTGAGTGATTCTGGGGCAAATTCCAGGGATTTTGGGATTTTCTGGAATTTTTGGTGAAATTCCCGAGTTTTTGGGGTGTTTTGGGGTGTTTTTGGGTCGCACGGGGATCCCAAGCACAAAGCGTTCGAGATGTCCTTCAAAGCCAAGGGGCTGCACCACGACAAGGCCTGTGAGTTTTCATTGGAATTCCAGGGATTTTAGGAAAATTCCGGGGAAATTCCTGAGTTTTTGGGGTGTTTTGGGTGTTTTTGGGGTGTTTTTGGGAGCGCACGGGGATCCCAAGCACAAAGCGTTCGAGATGTCCTTCAGGGCCAAGGGGCTGCACCACGACAAGGCCTGTGAGTTTTTATTGGAATTCCAGGGATTTTAGGAAAATTCTGGGGAAATTCCCGCGGTTTTGGGTGTTTTTGGGGTGTTTTTGGGGTGTTTTTGGGGTGTTTTTGGGTTGCACGGGGAGGCCAAGCACAAAGCGTTCGAGATGTCCTTCAAGGCCAAGGGGCTGCACCATGACAAGGCCTGTGAGTTTTCATTGGAATTCCAGGGATTTTGGGATTTTCTGGGGATTTGGGGTGTTTTTGGGGTGTTTTCGGGTGTTTTGGGGTGTTTTTGGGTTGTTTTTGGGGTGTTTTTGGGGTGTTTTTGGAGTG